GGCTGCACGTTTCAGCGAGCGTAACGGGAAATATATGTCAACTTTGGACGCTTTGGACCCCGCCAGTGTGATTTTCCTGGAGGCTGAGAAAGTGAAACCACTACTGGATTTAACAAACACAGACATGGTTGAGGCACAGTTCCACAGTTGCGCGAGAGTTTTTGAAAAGCCCGGTGCACAGGCCAGGGAGGTAGAGAGAGGTGACTTTGAGTCACCTTGTTGGCAAAGGAGTCCAGGGTATTTAAGTGCCATGCCAGGCGGGTAATGGACAGCATTCAAACACGCCACTAACATTCGGGGCATCAACTGCTACATGTGAAACTCGTTCTCCACGTTGAAGGAATGTATGTATTAGTGAGCACAGACGCAGCATGTTGCATCGACGCAAAGCCCATCTCATCCAGCTGGCCTTTGAGAATGACCTCAGTAGGAAAATTCAAGAGATGAGTGGAAGGAGATGCTGCTGAGGAGGTTCCACTCGTCAGGAAAGAGGAGACTGCAACTCTACTGAAGGTAAGAGCTGGTTATTTTATCATTTGTATTGTTGCTACTGTTTGTTAGCAATGTGGTTATTGATCATCCGTTGTTGGATATGTTAGATCAGCGCCTCTGATCTGTGGAGTCTGTTTTGATGTTGCTCCGTTATGTTTTCTCATTCTATGCAGCATCATGTGACATGTCACCGGCGATGACATGTCACATGATGCTGTGACTCACCGCCCCCCCTCGGTTTTCAGCTGCCCACCCCCTCTGTACTGAGCTGGAGCCGGGACTGCTAAACATATGGTATAACTGCTTTTTGTAATGAAATACACAATTGGTTTGGGAGCAAGAAATCTTTTAATCGTTGTTGCCCAGGCTTGCCGAAATGAATGGAAACTTATCTCCCGATTATAACATTGTGTAACTTGCTGCTATTAAATACCGTCAAACTATGTGCAATATGTGCTTTATGTGCAATATATACTTTATATACATATGCCATCTTTAATAACTGTAATATATACCGGGCTGCTAAATCCTAAGAACTGCTACAGGATTTGATTTGTAGATTTGATTTGTTTTTTATCCGTATTTTTGAAAATTATGTAACTTTTTATCTTTTTTTTTAGCATATTGTTTATTATATTAAAACTTAGTACTTTTTTAGCATATTGTTTATTATATTATAACTTAGTAATTTTTAACGCATGTAAGATATGAAACACTAAGCTGTCTGTGGCTCTTTCCAGCTGTAACGCTGCAAATTTCCCCTCTGTGGGACTAATAAAGGTATTCTGATTCTGATAACGGGACGAATTTCTACAAAGGGGCACACAGCAATGTAGTGCCGACTTTCTTACACGCCGGAAGGCCAATCGCTTTTCTGTACCCCGAAATCCGCTCATTCTTGCTCTCAGTGTGTCATAACAAACTGTCAAACTGTCAAGCTGTCAAAACTCTGTACTCAAACCGGAAGTACTCCACCTCACACCCAGCCGCCGGAAGTTGATATACGCCATCTTGTGCACAGAGCCTATTGGTGGCTGACTAAATACTTTTTTACCCCACTGTACCTATGTGCCATAAAAGCTATAAAAAACACATAAATGAGCCAAACTAGGTGACATGGTAAGTCATTAAAATGAACATGTGCACAGTAGAAGTATTGTGAGCCAATTAAGCATCACTGGAGCTCCACGTTTCTTATCCTTCCGCTGCTGAAATTGTACTCAATGGATGAACTCTTATTTCACCAACATTTGCTAACAAGTGACCTTTAAAAAAAGTATATATTATGAGGAGTTTTAAAATATTTCCGTTCTCATTAGGAACGTGCATGTGATTGGGGCTCAGAGACACATTCAGGGTAGAGAAGCCGAGATGTGATGGAGATAAGGGAAATATAATATTAGCATTATGCTGATTTCATTTCATACATTTAAGCTTATATCATTGGCATATCTTTTGTAAGTTTTTGTTAAAATAAAAGCAGAAAAGGAGCAAATACAATAACACCACTACTGCATCTACTTTGGGATGCGGTCAGATGGATTCCCAAAAATTGTGTTGAGAAAAGGGGATGAACTGACTGCTGATCCCTGACCAGGAATGTCACAATACCAGCAATTGAGTAACCAAAACCAATAACAGTGAAATGATACGATGCTTCATATAATGATACATGTATTATTGCCTTTAATCTAATCAATATTGGTTGAAACAGCTGTGTTTATTCACGTTTCTCGACCAAAACTAAATAAATTAAATTGAATGCATCACGATTACGTAACAACTCTCCATTGTCCAATAGTATTATAAATGGAATGGTGTCCATCTCAACAAGGCTCTGCTATTCGCAACGCTACTTTACAGGAAGAAAAAAAGAGTGTGGTTTTTCTACATCATCTCTTGGACAGCATTAGTGTCAAGCATTGATGTGATACCTGCGGCATTGTGGGAAAACAAGTACCATTGTATTTTCACAATGTTGACATTGACTAGGTACAAAATGACTTTTTTGACATCCCTTATTCTTCATGTCACACCAGATTGTTGACATTTTTAGCTTTTAGGGAAATATTCTCCATCCTCTGAGTTATCGTCTAGCACCATCATGAGCTGCATTATTTATACCTGCAGGATTAATGACATTCCCATCAGCCTCAGCTATACTGTGTTTTATGTTCTAATTAGAGAATGGGATAACGCTGACATGGCAAACTAAGAGCGTAAACATAATATTTCTGCTAAACAACTGCATGTTCAAATTGCCATTGTTAGCATATAAGAATGCTGACATCAGCATGTTGCTCATAGCCCTGTTGTGAGACAGAAGGGATACATTATTTTATTTTTGTTACAAGTAAATCTGGTCCAATCTAGTAAAGAAGAAATCATTATATGACGAAAGGCTTAATCAATACTATTAAAAAAAATTATGGTTTTATATTTAAAGCCTGCCTTTATAACTAATTTAAATGTAGCATGAAATTTGCACACCACCTTTTCCAAAGAATGGAACTGTTGTGCCTATTCAAGATAAACTGTGGTCTTTTGTCCTGCCTTCTCAAATGTTTCTCAATGATTCTATAATCGAATTTCACTGCGAGTAGTCTTCAAATGAACAGGCAGCGGGCTGATTTTCAGTGACACTCAACACTGGCCTGAATCTTTTCCCATCATTATCACCGGCTCTGGGAATGTGCTGCTCGTCGATACCAAAGAGGATTTACGGAGGAGGCTGGTCATTAGCTTTACAAAGGCTCAAATGTGCAGCACGGGGGTGTGTTGGAGTGCTCGGGCACATATGGCACATTATTTATGCATGTCTGCTTTGCCATGGAAAAGAGCCAGTGTTCATACTAGTGTACATACAACATGCACTGCTATGCCAGTATGTTCTGTACCCTTCTTTTATTATGCTTATGAGAAAACATTGAAAGCCTTAATCCACACTTTAACACCATGTCTACAGGAGGACCCAAGGACACATCTTTACTGTGTTTAAGACATTGTTAGTTCATGTGTATTTTCTTTATGCGTGACTGTGGTTGTTAAAATAAAATAATTTACAAATAGAGTGGTGCAGAAACGACTCCTAACACCTGGAAATAGCTTAGCAATATACCACACTTCCGGTTCCCTCCATTAGTTTTTGGTAAGCCTGAAATTAGGTGTGGTTAACACAAGCTGAAGAGATTTTCAAGTGTTGTTCTATGACATCAACTACGTCAGTAAAGACCCCACTGGTGAATGTCTGAACTACTATAAAAAAAAAGGGGTTGCTACGAAAGTGGCTTAAAGAAACAACTTACTACTACTAACGATTACTAACGTTTCATGTGGAACATTAGCCGTCTTTAGCTCAGCGGTGGTGAGATGAAGTTGTGCCACTGGTGAATGTCTGAAGCTTCTGTGTATCGTAAAAACAGCAGTTGCAAATAAGTGACTAAATGAGACTACTTAAAGTCATCAATCTGACACGAGACCGCCTTCAGCTAACTGCTGGTGAAGCAGTAGTGTTAATATATGGAGATTATCCTGCTGAACAGTAACAATACAACAATAATGTGTGTTTGCCATAGAGCTTATTTTCTGCAATATTCTGAAATCCAATGGGAACATTTTATAGTTATTGTCAAGGGAGCCCTTGAGATGCTAACGTCCCATTCGGCCTACACAAATACATCATTGCAGCAATCTATTAAGAATGGATTTGAAGTGTAAGGGGTTAGTGTAATCTGAAATCAACACCACATAGATTGGATATGTTTTGACATCTGCATAACAACAATGCAGAAATAACAACTTTGGAGTAGTATCAGAGCGTACAAAACATTTACATAAAACTAGTTTCATACATGTTTGTGCCTTTTGAAAGCAATTCTAGAACCCTGAAGGCAGGAGAGACTGAAAAGAGTCAAGGGAAGCTTATAAAAGTTAACAGCATTTAATTACACAAAAGATGCGGTGGTGTACAAAATGAAATGTGCGAGTGGAGGCGCTCTCCTCATCATCCAACGACCGGTCAGTTCAGGTCAGGGGGTAGAAGAGGTCAATTCTTTGCTTGCTCTTCCTGTTGTCATCTGAGGTCTTCTCCTATTGGCCGGCGTAGGGGGGCGGGTCCAATGCAATTCCTGCCTTTTTCTGTAGCTAAATTACATCATTCTGGCGTCTGTGGTTATTTAAACATTCCCTAATAAACGTTATTCAGCGGCAATAAATGTGTGCTAATCCCAGTGTGCTCAGTGTACAACATCACATGTCAGTTCACCTTCAATTCACGATATGAAAACGTAGCATTTCGCCACATGCTAATGCTAACCGGAAATGAAGAATTTTCAGAATAAAAGTGTTAAGTTAATAGTGTGAACTTCCGGTTTTTTAGAATAAAACTGATTTAAATTAAATAGTGTATTTAATTCAAATTACGCCATATCAACATTGATTTTAATTTCTAACAGGATCTACCATGTTTTTTTGTTGCCAACATTATCTGACTCTTCCACCTTCTCCCTCTCCAGGTAGACTTCGAGGACATAATCGCCGAGCCTGCAGGGACCTACAGCTTTGACGGCGTGTGGAAAGCCAGCTTCACCACCTTCACCGTCACCAAGTACTGGGTTTACCGGCTGCTGACGGCGCTGGTGGGCATCCCCCTGGCGCTGATCTGGGGAATCTTCTTCGCCATCTTGTCCTTCCTGCACATCTGGGCCGTGGTGCCGTGCGTCAAGAGCTACCTGATCGAGATCCACTGCGTCAGCCGCGTCTACTCCATCTGCGTTCACACCTTCTGCGACCCCTTATTCGAAGCCATGGGAAAGTGCCTGAGCAGCATCAGAATCAGCACCACCAAGGAGGTGTAGTAGGAGAGGAGGAGGATTTACGGAAAGAGGGGAGGGAAGATGGGAGGGCTAGAGCAACACAAAAGGAGGGGAAAGTCAAAAGAAGAAATGGACCTCTGGAAAACGAGTGACTTTTCCAGATGGGGCCAGGTTGTGTGGAAATAAAGGGGCGTGGTCACATGGCATCTGACTCCGCCTTTTTTTCCAAAAGCTGTTTTTTCTCTCCAGTGTTGGTGTTACCAAACGGGTGGGCACAACAAATCAAAGGGTCGTTCTCCAGGGTTTTTATTTTGTTTGTTTTTTTCATTCTTCACTGTTGTTAGGCAAACCTGTTTTTCTATTTTGTTTTTCCACATGATGTAAACTCCTTTCAATCTTCCTGTTTCTGAGGAGAGCTTATCACTTTGATTGAAGAGGGGTGTATCTCTCGTGCTTATTCGTGTTTGTTTTTTGGAGCCGTTGGGCGGGGGTGGGGCGGTTTGGTTGGTTGGTTGGTTGGATGTCGGGGTTTAGTCAGGTCAAAGCAGAGACAAAGAGTGAACACTGCCAAAGTCTATCTGACTCAGCAAAATCAAAACAAGCCGAAAAGCACAGAAACAACCCCTCCCTCTGGCCTCCATGACCTCCACATCCACAAAATCATCCGCCCACCCCCCACCTCCACCCTTCGCTGGCTTTCCAGCAGTCTGACACACTGAACCTGCCCTCGTTCCTGCATGCACCTGCGTCGCCTTGCAAACAAATCGCCGTCCGCCACCGCCACTCTGCATTCGCTTCTTACTTCACCTCCACCTCAAATGTTTCCAGTGCAGGTTTCATCCCCATTATCCTCATGACAGTGTGACAGAGAATGTTAGTTATTTGATGTTTGCAAAGAAAATACTCTTTCTGACCAATTTAGGCCTTTCATTCTTCAGTGAAGCTTCTTTTGAAATGCTCCATAGTGAATGCTTCTTTTGTTTCCCCTACACTATGAATATGAAGAACTTTTGAGGGGTTTAACTTCAATACCGTTGTTTTTAATATCCTGTATGTACTGTATGGTTGTCTATGCAGCAATTGAGAAGCTACGGCCTCATTCCAGTGCACTAATCTATGAGAAAGTATTGTTAGTGAATAGCACTAATGAAGATCTTCTGTCTATATTTGCAAAGGTAGTAGAGTACTAGCAGCTACGTTTGCACTCTGCACTTTGGATGTGCAGACACAAGCTTGTGTGGAGAAGTTTTTTAACGCACTGTGGTACTTGCACAGGTTAATGCATTGGAATACAAATAATGTGAGATTGAGTGTGTGATTTTGGATGCATTTGTTGCCATATTTTTGCCCCTTTTTTGTCTTCTTGATTGTTATAACTTCCCCATTGTTCTGCCCCCCTGCTTCTTGACTGTGGACACGATGCTGAAAAGCGTCAAACTGATGCCTCCCTCCCAAGAGATTGGTGCAAAGAGGGACTGTTGGGTGGGGTTTCTGCATTTAGACAGGGGTGGGGGAGGGTGGGGTAGGTTTTATTGTGACACTAAGCTCGCTTTGACTCAGTCACCTTCAGTCTACCTGCTGTCTTCTCACAGGGAAGGTAACATTATAGCACCTGTTCCTTGAATGGACTGTTTTTAAGCTCCAAAGGTGATATTTTTATAAGAAAATATGTTTTTTTCCTTCCTTGCTTTTACTGTACAATATCACGCTGTGCACATTAAAATTTAATATAATCCAGTGTGCATTTGTTTGTTTTTTATCCCCCGTTTCTTTACCAGGATGGATACACTGATCACCAGCATGTGCCTCTCACGAAAGTCCCACATTAACAACAGATTGTTTGTTCTTTTTTTTGCTTGTGATATTGAGTCATACCAAATCGAATTATGTAATGATTCATAGTGGTGACTGGTTTCATTAATCTGTTCTGCAGGAACCAGATAATCGTGGAAAAAAATACATAAGAAGGAAGCTAATGCAAGAGCAGCTGAAAAATTATTTCCAGCAGCAGTGCTCTCCAAACGCTCTGCCGTATTTCTATCAGAGTCTGTGGCCTTCAGTGTTGCTCACAGGCTTTTTTTTTCTGAGCCTGGCACAACATTTCCATGGTTACTTGATAAACAAATAAAAGCGTTGGGCAATGCCGGAGTCTCTTGACTGCATTTAAGTTCATTTTCCCCCAAAAGCAGGCACATGTTATGCAGTCCTGGACTCTCGCTTTAAAATAGAAACATGTTTAATGAGTCACGCTAACAGAGGCTCATTGTTCCCATTTTTTCAAGGGTGATTTAAGGATAAAACAGATACAAAAGAGAAGTTAACTGCCACTTGAGGTTTTTGTTTCAATTTATGGAGCAAACACTGTAGAAGCCAAGGCCTAGTTTGTGCCTGTCATGTAACATTTTTTATTCACATGGTTACATTGAATGGCCAAAGGTATTCGACAGACAAGAAAACCTTATGTGAATGTTGCATTTTCAAAACCATGTGCATCTGCTGCTATGATATCTCCTACTAGGAAGGATTTTTCAAATATTTTTCAGCCACACTAGAGAAACGTTCTGCCTTTTAACCCCGAGGTTACAGTCAGGTCAGGTACCAGTGTTGGTCGATATGTCCAGGCTAGCATTTGGTATTCCAGTTCATCTCAAAGGTCAGAGCTCGGGGCTGTGAACTTCTTGTACACCGATTTGGGAAAAGTATTTCTGTATGGACCTGGTTTTGTCAAGCATTTGCACCTATTTAGAAGCATATTGCCTAATTTGTATTGTTAGAACTGCAGGGCCAAAAACATTAAAAGACCAAAACTAACTATAGGTAAACCCAAGTCTACACATATCTTTTTTTCAAACATACTCCTGCTGTGGCGTGCAATTAAACCACTGACAATTTCTTACTCAAAGCAAAGAAAGTGCATCAACAAAACTAAAACGTATATAGTATGTTTATTAATATTATATTTCATTATTGCAGATGTATGTCTGACTTTCCTCTTCTCATGCTTAAACATATAGCCTATTCTTTTAAGGAATAAAAGTCAGAATTTAGGAAACTGTTTGAAACCTTTATCCAGTAGGTGACACATTTGTTTTTTCTGACAAATTGGGTCCAGAACTAAAGGCAATTCTTGTTTTCTCCAAAAAGAGAAAATTAGTTTTCAAAAAGATAACCTAATGGTAACCTGTATGTTAAATGAGAGGTACAAACTGGGCCTAAAGGTTGCATTTCCAGTTTGCATATCATTTAAAAATTAATTTAAATCACAAAAAAAAAAGAAATCATGCAAAAGAAAGATATGCTTGAATTTGGGTCAGAATTACAGTTTCTGAGTGTCTATTTGCACCCAGGTGTAAATAGAATTGTTAGCTACGGACACCGGGTGTAAATAGCATTGTTAGCTACAGACACCCGGGTGCAAATAGCATTGTTAAATACAGACACCGGGTGTAAATTGCATTGTTAGCTACGGACACCCGGGTGTAAATAGCATTATTAAATACAGACACCGGGTGTAAATAGCATTGTTAGCTACAGACACCGGGTGTAAATAGCATTGTTAAATACAGACACCCGGGTGTAAATAGCATTGTTAGCTACGGACACCCAGGTGTAAATAGCATTGTTAGCTACAGACACCGGGGTGTAAATAGCATTATTAAATACAGACACCGGGGTGCAAATAGCATCTGCCTTGAAGTT